TTGATGGAGCCAGTTACCTATAATTAAGTTATTAATATTTCATTTCTTGTAAATCTAACTTGGCTCCAAGTAATTAAAATAGATTACGTCATAAAAGGTGAACCGTGAGGAATACCTAAAGTTTAAGTAGATACTTTTTCTTTATTTTTAAAGTTTTAGACATTATTAGTTAGAATCCTTTGGCGCGAAAGACATGCTTTCGTTACAAAGTCCAGTGCCAGAATGAATAGTGTGGGGACGTAAACGTCGACATTTTAGTGAGGCTAGTGTTGAGTCAATACACTGGCTCATTTTCGGATTTTCTTCCTAACAATAGGGACTTTCGTTTTTTTTTTAATATCCCAGTCAGTCCCATCACTACTTAGAAAATTAGTTAGTACTTATGGTGTATGATGCCACAAAGAAGTGGTCCTATTTATTTCTACACCCCTATTTCATTGAAATAAGGCCCCTATACATATAATAATTAGCAAGCATTTGCAATCCTGCTCATTACCAAAATAAGCAACTGTTAGTAGCAATGTTTCAAGATTTTTTAATTATTGATTTTTTTATCTATAAATTTATATTTTTAATCTCATATCCATAGAAAGTAAATTCTTAAAACAAATGATTTTAATAGCACCATCTTTTAGTTATTGCTATCAACAGCACTGTCATGTCAACTTGAACACAAAGTTTTACCTGCATTCCGTGGCATAGTAGTTTAACAATGCTTTTCAAAAGTTTTTGTAGTACAAAACTATATTTAAAATGAAGATATTTTATATTTAAAATTTAACATCATACTTATATCAATCTTAACGATTTAACAAAACATTATACTTATAAATTTTATATTTAACTGTATAAAAGATAATATTTATAAAATAATAGGCACTGATGCAAAGAAAAGAGTATTATCTTAACAGATGTAACTCTTTCCTTAAGACAGGAATGTTAAAAAAAATTGGACTTAATATACCAATTTCAGAAAAACTATAAGTAATGTTTTTGTTTGTGGTATAAAAACAAACCATATCATAGCTCAACTCAACATCAATCTACGTTTCCTTTATTACAAAAAATAATAAATTGTTGAAGAAACTTAATATATATATATATATATATATATATATATATATATATATATATTTACAACAATTAAAAGTGATGTGATGAAGCAATCCGAGTTTAAAGCATTCAAAACATGCAAAGAAAGGATTAGATGCATGCAGATTACGATTAATTTGGAATTAACTTTTTTCCTAACAAACCATATTTTTATAGGCCAATTAAAATAAAAATAAACATTCATTGTTTGCAAATATATGTACAAAACAAATAAAAGTTAAAACTTTTTACATTTGTAATTAGAAAAACAAAATTGAAACTTAGTAATTTTATCATAAGTTTTAAAAAAAAGTATAAAGTTGTGTAAACTAAAACAAATTAACTTTATAAAAGTTGATACAACTTAAAAACATATTTAAAACAAATTTTTGACATAAAGTTGACTTTAGTCATTTGAAACTTTATTTTTAATACGGCCATAAAATGACTACAAGATGCAATGCAATGTTAACAAGCGGTGAGATGACAGCGGAGGCGGCAAGGTTCCTCTCACCTCGTAAGTTCAATGCTGGCTCCAGCGGCGTCGCCAACACGGCAGTCAGCTGCGCCACTGCCTGTACGACCCATAGCACACCCCACATGTCCCACAACCACATCACAACACTACACTATCTCATTGTTGGCACAACATTTACAAAACTTAACCAATGCGAACACCTAACTATGCTAATAACTCCTGTTGTTGGCACGATCATACTTTGGAAACAAACATTGCAATAAGGCTACTGGCTAACGTTCCCTATTCGCCTTATTACATTATTTAATATAAAAAGGTTCAGTATGACTGTCCGAATGTTATTAAAACAAAGACAGTAACTGCACGTCATAACATTTCGCAAAATGCGAAAACACACACAACATCCACTGCCGACGTCGCGGCGAATACTAGGGTTGTCCTGTATTGTATTTTAAAACGCCGTGAATGTGACATAAGTCAGTAGTGATGTGTTGGTTTTTGGTAGTAATTGGTAGTAATATTCACCAAATATTTAGTAATCTTACATTTGGAAACAAACATTAGTAGCAAGCAGTAGTAAGTAGAATCTGTTCCACGTTGCCAACAATTTCAATTTTACTCTGTAAAAATTATTGACTTTTGGACCTTATCTTCTTGAACTTTTATCTTCTCTTCATGTTTTTCTTGTTCCAAACCAATTAATTTATTTTGTTTAGGACATGTGCAAGGAAAATAAGAATTAATTTTTGGTAATTCCGATTTCTTTAGATATATAATTTTTTTGGCTATTTCTTCCAGATATAAAATATTTATGTGCGGGTCTATTGGCATTAGATAATCAACCGCTGGTTGCCAAAACCCACCGGTGAATTTCACCGGTTGGGAAAAAACCCCGTCAAAGGATAACCCAAAAGATCCTGGAATATTTGAAATTTCGATTAATTTTCTAGATTTTAACGGAGTGTTTTGAGTTAATTGCCACTCAAGTTATATTAACATGTGGACATACCATTGCATACTACCCCCAAAGAAAGAATGTCATCCGAATTTGGACCAGAGAGCCATACTTGAACAAATTTCAGTAATGATATAGCTTTATTAATCGATAACTCTTCGTTATTAGCTTTTTTCTGAAATATAAAAACAAGTTTTTTTTTTGTTTAGCGTGATACGAAAATGGATAACAAAAATCAAAAGTTTCATTACATACTTTGGCTTCCAACAACTTCGTCCATAAATTTTCTTTAAAATGCAATAGATAATCCAGCGTTCTAAATTCGGGAGTTAGAACTCCAACACACAACGAAGATTTCCTAACTTTGACATATCTATTATATGGTTGAAAAACATTATACTTATGAATAGTATTTCGAATATCTACAAGATGGTTTATTCCTACGAATCCCCAAACGGGCGGACAAAACATGTTTTTCATCTCTACTTCAGCTACTTCTGCAGCAATGGGTGCTAATTCTAAGCCCAAATCCGAAGTTACCACGACAATATTTTTTTTATTAATACTTGTTAGTACTTTCGTCAGTATAGTAGCATTGTAACAAGCTGGTCCTAGATTGGGTAACACTATATACATATTTCGAGAGGCAGAAGCATTTATCATCGGTGCTAATTTTTTAAGACAGCGGGCATTCAGAGCGAGCCAATCTCCAATAGATAAATCAAGACTGTAAAGAGAAAATTGCTAGTCCTTTATAGTATTTCATTTATACAAGAAATCATAATTTACAAGTGAATATTCTTACCTAAACGGTACGTAATCCATTATAATTAATAAATCGCAACTTGCAAGTGCCATGCCCATTTTGTTTGTGTATTTTACGACTTTACCAGGATAATTATTACCCACATAGCTGCATTCAGTTTCCACATATTCCAAAAAAGTTTGGGAATATTCCTTGTCATAAATAAAAATTTTTGCAATACTCTTGTGCCCAAGAGACATATCTAATAGACCAGATATTATGTACATAGTTAGTGGATGACTTGCTCCCGAAATACAAACAGTTATATTTTTTGCATAGTCTTCTGTAGATCCTTTAGATTCTTGATCATCAATGTTACCTTCTTTTCTTAATTTCTTCTTAAATTGATTAAAATTATCTATAAGACCTTCAAATCTTTCGCAGGAAATATACGTTTCAAATTTATAATATGAATAACAATAATCTAAAAACTCTGAAGCACCTCCTATGTAAAATGGTTTGCTCCCTTCGATTAATAACTCTTTCCAAATTAAAGGAGACTCGTTGTGATGCCATTTATTTCTAAGGTTTATTTTACAAAGCCAAGTCTGAAATATATATTTTAATGATAGAGAATATAAGACGCAATGATAAAGTCTGAAATATAGATAACTTTTACCTTCCACTCTAACACAGACTTCTCTATTATTCTATAACAAAAATTAGGTAGATTTTGGGATAGATAGTCAGCAATTGCACATATTTTCGCAAAGGACTCGCATTGAGATTCTCCCGATATTATTATTTGCACTCCCATATTTTAGCAATGTTCATCAACACGTAAAATAAAAGTAGGACATTAAATTTGACATAATATGACATAAAATAAAGTTTTTAAATTAAGAAAAGCAAAATCAAAACTAATCAAAAACTTTAATTTAAAGCTTGTCCCACTGATCTCTGCTAACGGATAGGCTTGGAAATGACCACTTTTACGTTATTCCTGCTTAAACGCGCCTGTTGAACTTCCTGACAGTTAATTCTATCTCTATTATTAGTTTGAATCTTTACCACCTCTACCAGCCGCAACAAACAGTGTTAAAATGGCAATGATCAAATAGGCACAAAACACCAAATCAAAGGCCTGACCAAAAATCAATTTCCCTATCATGAGGGCGCCACAATCTTCATCGATATTGCAACACTTTTCATCAATGTCAATATATCTGACGAACAAATGTCATTTAAAAATTTAATCCAATATTAAACTTAAAATCTATTTTATTTACCATATATCAAATTAGCACAAACTCAAAAATTGCACCGTGATTATAATAAAACACTTTGATAACAACGTCAATGCCATGGAAACGAATATTTCTAATCAAATTGCTGTTACAAGAAATGACTCACATACATTTTGCGTAATAAGGCGAGGTTTTTACATATTTATGCCAGTTATTACTTAATCTTAGTAAAGTACTTTGGAGGAGAAAAGTAACTTTAACTTGAATATTTAATCGGAAAATGACAAATGATACCATTATCAAATTGAAGATGTCAGTTTACATTCATGCACTGGTTTTGATAACAAATGTCAATTTATGATTAATGTGAGCTTCACGATGTCAAAGTCAGATGTCAATTTCATCTCGAACTCGATTTGCGATTTTGTGATTACTGCGAAGTAGATATTTCAAACAAAACAACTTAAATATAAAAGTTGTATATGTGTGTCTGCGTAAAGTCTTAATGTGCGAAAAAAATAGTAGTGACCACACATAACGTTTATATTTCCTTTAAGATACTGAATAAGGTTATGTTTATAACATAGCTTATCGATCGACCAGTGTTTTTAACTTAGTACATTGTATTACATTGTATCCAGAAATGGCGCACAAAAATTGGGGATTTTGTGATTTATCAGTCAGCAGGGATTGCGACATAACTAAAATATATTGTTTGCAGAAATTAGGGCTTAATACAGTTGCTATAAATACACACGTAGAAGAAATAGGCGATGAGCCGAAAAAGAAAAAACGGAAAGGGGAAACAAAGGAGAAAAAAGATTTTGTGCCAGATCCTGTAGACATTCCAAAAGATTTAAACAAAGGTGAAATTAACATTCTTCAGAGAGTGACAATAGATTTTTCAGAATCTAGCATTAGCCATAAGTTCAATCACTCTGAGAATATAAGGAAATACGATATAATAGCTGTTGTTCCTAAAACATTACAAGCATTTCAATATGCATGCTCCAGTCTAGATGTTGATATTATCACATTTGACCCTCAGATTCGTCTGTCTTACAAAGTCAGCCGTAAACTATACAATCAAGCAGTAGAAAGAGGTTTGTTCTTTGAACTTATGTATAGTCCAGCAATAAAAGATTCTACTGCTAGAAAAAATATAATAAGCATGGCTCACACTTACTTTGCTGTTGGAAAGTCAAATAACATTGTTATCACAAGTGGAGCAGATAATTACAACTTAATCAGAGGTGTGCATGATGTTATTAACCTCGGCTTTATATTAGGCATGAATAGCAATCAGAGTTTGGACTCTATTCGAAATAATGCTCGCCGACTTATCATTAAAGCTGAAGGGAGAAAAAGTGGCAAGCATTATATGTTAGTAACACCGGGTAAAAAAGAAAAAAATAAAACAGTGAAAGAGTAATTGAGTGGTTTTATTTAATAATTTGTAAATTTAAAAATAAGAAATAACATAAACAAATCAACATTAGCATAAAATGTAATGTTGGAGCCATTTCACTTTATGCAATTATTTCATGTTTTTTAAAAACTGTTGCATCATTTTGTATACTGAAAACACTCCATACTTTATAACCAAAGACATTGAACATATATATCAATAGAAAGGACATTACAAACCAAACCATACTCTTAAAAAGATATACTACTAGTACATTTTTTGTTAGAGATATCTGTACCAATGTTTATCTGTGGTTTATTAATATTATCGATTGCTAGTAATGTCCACTCTATAGCTTGTATTCTCGAATCTCTTTGTTTATAACTTATTCTATTCGTAAATTGTATATTTTTAAGATTTGTTTTGTTAAATAATGATGATAAATAAAATTGTATCTTACATATTTATCACAGTTTAAGACCAAATTGAAATAAACTTTTTTATTATAAATAATATATTAAGATGTATTATTTTCACTCATGTATGCTAAAATTATTTTAAATAAACATAGAATAAGTCAAAGAAATAGGAACCATAACATCGAGTCTTTGTAGTAACTTAATATTATTGATAATATGAATAATTTTTGTAGAGACTTCAAAATTGTAATCATAATACATTTCATGTAATCATCTATACAATAAAACTTACTTTAAAGCTCAAATTTGTTAGCATTTCATCATTTCATAACCCATTGGAAAATTAACACTTACGCTGACATCACAATTTGAGCAGCAAATTCTTTGGTTGTTTAGTTTGCTACTTGCTTATTTTTTCTGTTTTTTTTTATTTATTCTCTTTTAGCACTTTGCTATTATTTTTACTGTCCATTTGAATACTATTAAATTAAGTTTTCAAGTAAAATTAAATAAATATAACTCTATATTTTTTTGTTATCGATTTTAATCACCGATAATTTTATATTACAAGTGTTTTACAATTTAAGACCAAGGATATTAAAGTACTGTAGAAAAAACAAATATTTAGATCTTGTGGTAACACAGCCTTAAATGAGTACAAGTCAATGAGGGGTAGTCAAAGATAAACAATTGTGTTAACTGAAATTTCATTTGTTTTGGATTATTCGATCATTTGCAACAGATAATATAACTTATTAACTTTATTTATAATTTTCTTCATTGTATTATATTTAAACAGATTTTTATTTCAAATTATTTTAAATCTTTGCATATAACTGTATGAAGGATTTAAAGTATCACATTTTTGCAAATTACGCATACTTGACATAAACGAAGAGAGTCACATCAAAAAAATTAAACCCTGCATTTGATTTTTTATAGACATCTTAATGAAGAATAATTTTATACGCTTATTTTTTTATTTTCACACCATTAGATTTTTTTTAATCCAAATGTTTTATTTTTTTCTACTCCGTTTTAAGATGTTCAACGTTTTGAGTTATCTCATCCTTGTTTACCATAGTCCTCTCAACCGATGAACGCGCAGATAAAGAAGACTTAATGACAGCAGATTCTTCGGGTAATGTAAATATATCAGCAAACCATTTAAACCTGTATGGACAAAATTATAATAAGCAAATAGTTAACACGTTCAATGCCACTGACTTGCTCTCTTCTCTTTAGTGCTTAGAAAATTTAGTGGCATTGAACGTGTTAATATGAAGATTTCATGCGTCACGCACTAACTCTGATGGGTGTGCAGGGATCATATGATGCCATAGCACACCATCGCTTCCTCCATATTCATACAGCATACTTTGGTTTTTTACCAAGAATTTAATTAGGGGAAATTTGAAAAAAAAATGTATTTCCTGTAAATCTTAGACTTTTCTTTTTCTGAGTGCTAGATGTAAGATTAGGAAATGGCATAATGATTTGTTTTAAGTAAACCAAATATTTTTTTTTTAGAATTTTTTCGGATTTTTCGTACTTTTTGTACTAAGTCTTAGTAATTATTATTATCTTATTTTCCAAAGATATTTAAACTTGGTCTTTGAAAATATTATATTTATATTTTTATCATTTTTGATGACAAATACATTTTAACCTAACGAGACTGAACAAAAAAGTTAAACTCGTCTCACATAATTAAACCGATGTAGGTAGACATTGACTATGGCCTAATGACCCTTAACTTAGGGTAGGCTCCGAGCCTCTCGGTGGGGACATATAGTGAGCTGATGATCTAGGTAGACATATTTTTTATGAATTAAACGTAAATTGTATTTCAGACGTTAGTAGGAACAACACAAGCGATTATTGACAATATGAGTGCAATCAAAGCGGTTGTATAACGATTAGGTTGTAGGCGAAGTTTCGTTAACTTGCAAGATGAAAACCGTTCAAATGTAATCTAGTTCATTTCACCAATAATTTTACATTATCACTTCCATTTGAAGACTTGGAACATATTTTTTGTCTATTTTATATTTAATAATACGTAATGACAAGGATAAATTAAAAGAACAACATCGATTTTTATATTATATTATTTTCAAATGCAATCTCAATGTTTGGTACATATTACAAAATGTAAAAAAAATCACACTATGATACATTAGATTAAAATAAATGATACACACGGTGCTTAAAAACTCTCTAACCGTAGTTTTCACTGTCGTTATGTACAAAAAATATATTTGCCTTTGTTTTTTTTGTACATGTATCAGCAGTGGAAACTTACCGTTACATTTACCAGCTAAGTACCCTAATAACATAAGTCATCTGGCAGAATTATTTAATCTGGTGCGATCTATTGGTAGCACCAAAATTTTATTGTAAAGCATTTTATTAAATTACGATAATAATTAGTAAATTAAAAAAAAACTTTATATATTTTACAAAAAAATACTATTGATGAAAACAAACATGACATAATAATTTATACAGAATTAAAATGTCACAAGATTAATTTAAAAACTTTGCTATGATAATTAATTTAATAATGCGATAATTCTAACATTATTCACATTCATTTATTTTTAATTAAAATACGCTACGAGTAAATAATATGCATCTATTATCAGAACAAGATTATACAAGAAGCAAAAACCAATATTGTTTATGGTACCCACAGACTAAAATTACTATCTATACATTTTCTACATCTTAAACGCTATCTGACTTGTAAAATCTGGCTTCTAGATTAAATATGGCAGTGTCAAATTACCGTAGTTTCGGAGCGCAAAACACAAACGGCGAATTTACGCTTTTGGCATTTTTTTTTGTTAACAGTTGAATTTGAATTGATTCGTTATAGAAATAAATTGAAAACAATCGCTTAGCCAAATATTCGCTACAAATTGACATTTAAAGGTTAATAAAATTCGCAATGTCAAGATGCAAAGCGCTTTCAAAAACTCAGTACGTGATTACGTAAAAAATTTTAAGTTTCAAAAAAAAATTATGAAAATCCTATTGCTTTGTTACGAATATATCTCGATTCCATATAGCAAATAATAACAGGTTTTAAAAAAATACATTTTCAGTTTGTTCATTTGCAATATTTACGCCATCTGTGTGTCGCGTTCCTTTTTATTTACTATACAAATATGTCGCAGAAACTGTCTAAATGAATTTAATTATCTCGTAAAATGATTACAAACAGAGCTTTCCTAACACAGGATAATAATACTCTTATTTTTAAATTGGCTTTCATAAAATCTATCATATGCCACGATAACTATTTATCAACGTACTTCACGTGGTAAAATTAACGCATTGAGTTTATGTTAAATTATATTTAGCGACAAAATGAGAAAGCGCACACATGATGCTAAAATGTAAATGTGCGTTAGGGATGACATGAGGTTTTAATACTAGTCTATGAATAAGTCTTCAGCAACCATAGAGTTTTATTTTTTTCAACCATAGTGTTTTCTTTTTTTCTCAATTTTATTATGGATTACAAAAGAATGGACTCTATGTTTACTGCAGATCTAAAGATGACATTGAGCAAAAAGATAAAACAATAACAGTCTTTAATTGTCTTTTCTAATTAAATATAAAGTTTACGATCGTGTTACCTTAAAAGGTGATCATGGTGGTAAGATTCAAAGGAATTGTTTTATAATTTTAACAAACACAATAAATGCAGAATTCATTGTAGTTAAAATTACTTCAAGTGATTTATAATATTCTACACGAAGATTAATCACCAAAACAACTTAATAACTTGACTACATTTAAAATAATAGCTTTATACATGAAATTTACTACTGGGCTTACTTAATTACACCATAACTTAGTCGATACTAAATACATAGATCATGGCATTTCAATTATTAAATTCATTTTTTTTTCACTAAACCAATCAATAACAAATCATACGTAAAAATAAATAATCTCACGTTCATACAAATTAACCGATACTAGTTAACAAATTCAGTCTCATTGGTTAAAACATAATCGTAATTCGTTTTAATACGCGCACGTTTCTTTCCTCAAGAACTTTCTAGGCGTGTTGAAATGTCAATTGATAATTTACAGATCACATAATAAATTTTACCATTTTTTTTAAATTTTAAAAACAATTAATGTCAAACTCATTTCACAAAACATTATTTTACAAAATAAATAGAACTTATTATTAATTAAAATAGGATAAATTCTGTATTTCAATACTTACACATAAACATTCGACATTTTATTTCTCTTTTAGGAATAACAAATTGTGATGCTTTTAAAACGCTAAAATAGCATAATTTATGAGACTTTTCATTTTAAGTCAAATCATTAAAAACTGCTGCTATTGTATAATACATACATCGAAATTTGAAACTACTAAAATAAAAGTTACTAATAGCACATTACACTTAAGACTGGCAACACTAATGCTTACGTCAGATTCGAGTTGTATTCCGCGGGTGACGTGTGACAGCTGTCAGTCAGTTGTTGAGGAAAGAGACGCAGTGAGCGACGGTGTTGACGTTTTCCACCAACCTGTTGTAGAGCTCGCGGCGCACGCTGGCGGTGAACTTGCGCACGAGGCAGAGCGTGACCGTGCCCGCGAACAGCGCGTTGTACAACATCACCAGCTTGAAGTTACCCAGCCATTTAATGCGACCGAACTCGCCTAGCAAATCGAAGTTTGTTATACCTACAACAAGAAAACATAGACTTATTAGTAATGCTAAAAATTGTTAAAGAACTTTTAATAATTCGAATATTTTTTTATATGCCCTATAATCCCGTCAAAGTCATTCCAGTTGATCCCAAGAATACCAACTACACTAAAACATCATGTATACGTAATTATTTTTTAATATTATGTAGAGACACTCCAATTTATTAATATGTATAGATTGAACTGATATATAAACACGGCTAAACACTCACATATATACGTCCGGTGGCGGCACCGACTAGTTTCGAGCCCATCGGGGGCCCTTCATCAGGATGAGTGGCACTGGTATTATTTCGCGGACGCGGCCCATCGCTCACTCAGTGAGCTCGAAACTAGTCGGTGCCGCCAC